TTAATCCAAGAAACCCACTTGTAATTTTTTTTTTGGACAAACTGTTTTTGTAATTGAGTTTAGACAAATTCATAAAATATGATTCGCAGTTTTAATTTAAAATTAGAATGTGCTGCGCTCAATAGATATAGCGACTGGATTTGCCCTGTTATTTATGAACATCGATAGGATAAGCTACATATATACATATACATATTAAGCATAATAAATTAATTTTTGCTCTCCAGAAAAATTTACTTAAAAAATTAAAGTCTCTTTCTTATACGAATATAATATATATATATATATATATATAATATAAACCTTGGAGTTATTATATAACTAAAATATTTTTAAAAGAAAATAAAAGTTCGATTAAAATATATGGCATTAAAATTTCATGCAGATATATTTTTGTTGTTATTTAATTTATGTTAAAATTATAAATCTTACATGCTTTAAATTTAGAAAAAACCGCACTTAACGTTGTTAAGATATAGTTTTTAAATCAAAATGAGGATAATTATATGATATGTTGTAATTTTTGTGCGTCAGAAGTCAAAGTGGTGTATATTTTGATTTTAAAAGAGGATATATAATTTTTAAAATAAAGAGTGACTTTATGTATATCGGGAGGGTCCATTTAATTAACAGATCAAATCAATCCCAAACTTATATATATATATATATATATATTAAAAGATGCCTATCTTTTTTCGACCCTAGCTACTTTGGATCGAGAATTTTTCTTTTTGGTCTGAACTTTGGATCGAGAATAGAAATACACAAATTCAGAAATGTATTTTTAAGTACATATCAATTTCAATAATAGAAATCAACCACAAGCATCTAATACAAGACTGTACTGGAAAGCCCTAATTGGATGACCGAACAGTAGATCTGTATATGGATGTTTAATTTAATTTGCTGCGTTGTGAGCATGAATTCAGTAATAATAATAATAATAATAATTCCAGACTTTTAATTTACAAAATGGTTCTACATATCATCAATTTGTTCAAATGTTTGACGTGGACTTGAATTTTATGCCCAGCTTTGGGGGGGAAAATATTGAATTGGAGGTTGATATTTCATTGAAAAATATAAAATCATTTAATTACCACTCAAACTAACAATTAGATCGCAAGCTATATGCATAAAGGAGCGTAACTAGATATCCATCAATACAAAATACCAAATCTGTGATAAAACCCCTGATTAAAAACTCATGGAGAATGTGGGTAAAGCTTAACAGTAAAGATTAATCCTTACAACGTTATGAATTGATGCTTAAATTTTCATTAAAAAATATACTCATATTTAATATATGATATTAACCGTGTCTCAAACAATATTTCCTCAAACCAAAAAATACCTATGTTCCAGAAAAACGTATTGAATTGAATAGGGAAAATTACAATCAAGAACTTTTAGAGACAATTAATTACACTGTAGACTAAAATAGTTACCTTTATTGTGAAAAGATAAAAATGGCCTTCATATGTATATTACACACTCTTTTAACAACTTCCTATTTGAAAAAAAAAAAGTCTTATTTACATTTTAATAACAATTAATTTTCTTATTAACAAATGTAAAAAATTAACTTGGTGGTGAGGAGGAATAAGTAATGTGATTTGATGAGCAAGTTCTCATTTGAAAAAAATAAATTTTATTTTCATTCTAATAATAATTCATTTTATTATTAACAATTCTAAAAAATTAATTTGGTGGGGGAGAAGAATGAGTTACAAATGTTGCGATTTGTTGAACAAGTTACTTTTCCAAAAAAATAAGTTTTATTTTTATTCTAATAATAATCAATTCTTTCATTAACAACTACATAATATGAATTTGATAGATAAATTATTATAATTTGGTGAATAAATTTTTATTAAAAAAAACCAGTCTCATTACTATTTCACAATAAATTTTAATTACATTTGAATCCTTTGGTTTTGTAGAGTAATATTAAAATTTTTAATCCTACAGTGTAATTAATTATTTTCAGGAGTTCTTGATGGTAATTTTCCCAATTAAATACATAAATGTTCTATAATATCACCACGGAATCCGATCATTTTTCAAAATGAGGAAAATAAGAGTGCATTTTAAATAAAAAATGCTTAAAATAAGGCGCGGGTGCAGGTGTGGTTTGTTGTGTTAACTAGAGTAAAAAATAAAATTGGTAAAATTATTCTCCAATACCAAAACAATCTAAATACAAAAAAAAATCATAAAATCACAAAACTATTATGAAGTCTTGGGTCATTTACTAAAATTGTCAGATATTACTAGATAGTTGTTAATGATTGCTACTTAATTATTGATTGAACAACTTCACTAACAATTATTGAGTAGCAATTGTCAAATTCAATAAAATAAATTGACAACTTTAACGAAAAAGCATGAAATTTTAGAATAATTGTATGATTTCATAAAAATTTTCTATGTTTATATTGCTTGTGTAGAATTGTTCTAATAGAGATTTCTCAATAGAATTCTGAATCGATAATAAGGTGAAGCAAGCGAATCTCATATAAGAAAACCGACACGACCAAATCAAGCAACCTAATAAAGTGAATGGCTGGATTAGTTGGGTCTTCAATCGGATCCAATTAATTAAGTCGAAGGGCAGAGCCAGAATCTTAGGTACGACTTGATGAAGTAGGGTTGATCTTTTTTGGAGACAAGATCCACCCAAAATATGACCACAAATAATTGTATTGAGATGAATGAATGAGCACCAACCAACAGTCACATACGAAAGTCACAAAAGTAACTCCCAAAATTCTCATCTCAATCCCTTTTTTTTTTTTGTCGAAACCAAGTTGAAGAGCATAGGTCAATGTATATGGTCTGAGGTGGGCACAATATAAATGAGAGTACTGACTTCCTCGAAGCACGTCGACCCATGTAGCGTTTAGACTAGGTCGACCCATATAAAGGCTTTAGACTCCCAATCCATTTGGGCCCATATAGATCCCATGAGCGCCCATTGGCATGATCTTTTCCATCCTCGTTGACCGGGATTATGTGGGCCCCTTACTCTGTCAAGTTTGGGAGTGACCACATTCATCATTGGAAGCGAGCCTTGGAATTTTGGTGGGAGTTTGAGACAAATTGTATTGTGCATGATCTATGAATAATGTGTTCTGCGCAGTCATAGATGTATTGATAATAATTTAGTTTAATTGCACTCTATTTTGGTTCCATTTAAGTCTCATTCTTTTCTTTAAATTCTGGTAAAGTCATAGAAGTTTTCGAAATATTTTAAAATAATTGTTTCAAGGAACTTCCTTAGTTAACATTGTTTTTATATACTTATTCTCAACTTTCTTTTTATGTCGTACCTTTTTGCTAGCAAGATTACTAAGCATCTTACTATCTTAGGCTTGCCGTATTTTAACTGTAGAATTGAATGAGATCCTGACTGATTTAATTTAAATTAAATTGATCATGATCACTGAGGGCGGTAAAACTTCTCCACCAATACTTTTAACTACATTGCATTTCTGAAACCCCAAAACTTGAAATTTTTTAATTAAGCTAATGTAACTCACTACCAGTTAAATAAAGTTCACTAGGTGTCTTCACAACGTACCCTTTATTAAGGTACACGCATGTTTATCAAGCTCGTCCTATACTGGAAAATAGTTAAGTGCGGCCTTGCTAATGATTTTGTTGACAGTGAGAAATATCAAATATGACGTAATAATAATAAATAATAATAATAATAATAATAATAATAATAATAATAATAATCATAATCGTGGTTTGAATATGATTCATAAAAAGACACTTTTACATAATAAATAATAAAAAAAGGCACAAAAGATCAGCAACACTTTAGCAAAACAAGTGCCTCTAATGCACTTCATCTCCCACAACACTTATTTTTGTAAAAAAAAAAAAAACTTATACATTTAACTTTATCTATTTAAGATGCTTGTTTTCAATTAAATTAAAACATATATATTTTTTTATTGATTATCTATTTTATAACAAATTTTTTTATTAATAATATTAAAATATTAAAATTTATATCTCTTGATTTGATTGAATAAAAATATATTAAATATATAAAGTTAAGTATATAAGTCTTATTTTTTTATTTAGTTTTATTTCTTACTGGCCAAGATTAAAGTCGGCAAGAATGTTCACCAACAAATAAATAAATAAATAAAGTCAGCAAGAAATACGCCGTAAAAAGTTTCCCCTGAAATCTCACTCGAATTAATTACCAAACGAAAAACAAACTGATGGTTAAAAAAACAAAAAAAAAATCTTAATCAGAAGCAACTACCAAACAAGTCGTGGGCCTTAATTTTGGGCCTAGGAACTACCCTCAGACGGGCCAAAATAAAGCAGTTGGGCTTGGGTTAGGCTCCAACGTGACTTTATACAATCTTCTGACACACAAGAGAAAACTGAAAAAGGGAGGGGGGCGCATCTCGTTGAGACTAGTGCTCTATCCGATATCCATTCCAACTTCAATAACGGCCACGTCCTTGAAAAGAAATTAACCATTGGTTGAGGAACTACTAACACTCACCTTTAGGCAAGTTAACCCCATGAAGATGAGCTCAAAATTTGTTTAATTAACGAAACTAATAAAGGTTTAATTACTATCTCACCCTTTGTTAGACCTAATTTCATCATCACCCGTGAGAACAAGTCCTTGTAATTTCTTTTCATCAACAACTACTCACAATCTCACACCAAACTTACGCACACACCATGAGAATTTTTGTCTTCATTGGCTCGAAAGAACATGCCTCTTCATTTTGTGCCATTGAAATCCCTAAAATGCCATTGCATGGCTTGTACTCACTAATTACACAATGCTCGCCTATTCTAGGGTTAGAATCTGAGCCCTAATTTCACAGGTGGAAGAAAAGGATTAAGTATTAACCGCCTATAAGCGGTAACATCGAGGAGGTTACCGGTAAATGGAGGTGGAATATTACTACTACCTCCTACATCCCGTTTCTTGTTCTCCGTTTTTAAGTGTGTTTTTGTGTGATTATGTCCCATGTATATATCAGATTGTGAACTCGCTTCTTCTCTTTTTATGCATTGTGGCCTCTCTTTCGTATTCTGTTTCTCCTTGTAAGAGAGAAAATTTGAAGTGAGAAGCCTTGTTTCAGAATTTTTGTTTTCGCTCCATCATAGATTGTTGTTGACTTTGAAGATTTACACAGACCTCTGTCAAACAGAGAGCTTCTGTTTCTCGTTCACTTTGTTTTCTATTATATATATTGGAAAAAGAAAAGCTTTTGTTCAGGACTCTGCAGTTCGGGAACTTCACGATCACTTTGTAATTTTCGGTTTCCTTGATTTTAATCATGTTTCTGCTTTAAATTATGCTGACTTTGCTTTACATTGAAGTAATGCAAAATTTGCTTTTGTTCTCTCGTTCAGGATTTGGCTTTTCGAAGGTGATCTGTGTCAAAGGTTGGGTTAGAATTCTTGCTTGTATTCCCGTATCTGTTTGTTTCCTCTGGTTAGATCTACTGTTTGCTTCTAACTTTTGTTCAAATGAACTACTTTGTTTTGTAGGATTTTGAATTTTAACCGAGTTGGATGCATGATTTGGTGTTGAAGAGGGGTGAGGCGAGGCTTTTTTCTTGTTGGATATGAAGAGGTCCAGAGACGATGGTTATATGAGCTCTCAACTCAAACGGCCCATGGTGTCTTCACGAGGAGAAACGTGAGTTTATCTCTGTTGTCTTCAATTTTCTCTTTCTTGGATTATGTTGTTGTCCATATTTTTATGCTTTGATCAAACAATTGCATCTTCCAGTGAGTGATTTTAATTTTTTTTTTTTTACCATGGTGATTTTTTCTTGTGAGATTGACGAGTCTACACGCTGATTTACTGCAATAGTTGTTTGATCATTTCATCCTTGTTTTAGGTTTAGTCTTATTAAAGCCATTTCTCTTTTTCTTTTTCAAACTTGACTTTGTGAGATATGATCAGATGCTTCTTTCCCTGAACTACGTTCGAACCTAATTATTTTTCTGCTATAGAGGGGAAAAACAAAACTGGCAATTGTTCTTCTCACATTCTTAACCTTTATAGTGGTGCAAACCATACAATTATTTTTGGAAAAAAAAAATGTTTATGCACGCTAAGATTAATCATCTGCGTGATAATTTGCTGAGTAGTTCATGAATTTCTCTTTGAGTTCTAATGTTCTCTATTTTTTGGAATGAAGATCGGGGCAGCCCCAGATGATGGCCGGAGGTGCTCAAAAACTCACAACAAATGACGCCTTAGCATATCTCAAGGCAGTAAAGGAAATCTTTCAAGATAAAAGGGAAAAATATGATGATTTTTTAGAAGTCATGAAGGACTTCAAGGCTCAAAGGTTTGATCATGTTCAATCATTCTTCTTCCCCTACTCCTACTTTTAATTTCCATCTTTTGTTATATGTGCAGCAGGCAAGGGGATGTTAATTTTTTATAGTGAAACTTGATTTCTGCACGCTTGTGGCTCACTTTTTTGGTTGGTTTGTAGAGTTGATACTGTGGGTGTCATAGCAAGAGTGAAGGAACTGTTTAAAGGGCACAGAGATCTAATTTTGGGATTTAATACCTTCTTGCCGAAGGGGTATGAAATCACACTTCCTTTGGAGGATGAACAACCCGTGCAAAAGAAGCCCGTTGAATTTGAAGAAGCTATAAATTTTGTTAACAAAATTAAGGTAAAATAGTAGTTAATCAATTGAAGCATTACACTCATGGTCCACCACAAGCACACGAATACAAATATGAAATAAGAAAGTTGATAGTTTTGAGTCTGATGGGTTTTTCTCTTGAAGTCTCGCTTTCAAGGTGATGATCATGTCTACAAGTCGTTTCTAGACATATTGAATATGTACAGAAAGGAAAACAAGTCTATTTCTGAGGTCTACCAGGAGGTATGTTCATTGCTCTCTGTCACTATATAATTTTGTCAGAGTCAGACACGTTGGTTGATCATATTGTTCTTCCCTCTTGAAGGTCCTAGTTTTCTTTTTCATGCACTTTTTAATCACATATTGGACACTTTTCAGGTTGCTTCACTTTTCCATGACCACCCTGATCTTCTTGATGAGTTTACTCACTTTCTTCCTGACACTTCGTCAACAGCATCTGCACATTATGCTCCTTCTCGGAACTCTATGCTTCGGGATAGGAGCTCTGCAGTGCCAAGGCGAATGAGTATTGAAAAGGTTTATCTCTCTGAATACTTTAGCCTGTCTGATCTCATAATTAATCATCAAGTTAACGTTTGCCTTATCTCCATGCCAGAAAGAAAGGACTGTGGATTCTCATGTTGATCATGACCTCAGTGTTGATCGTTCTGATCCAGAACATGACAGAGTTATCATTAAGGCAGAAAAGGAGCAGAGGAGATGTGTTGAGAAGGAAAAGGACCTTAGAGAAGAGAGGGATAGGAAAGATCATGAACGGGATGATAGAAATTATGGGCCTGATGGTAGCCGGGACTTTACCATGCAACACTTCCCCCACAAACGGAAATCTGGTCGGAGGACTGATGACACTGGTGCTGAACCATTGCATCAAGGTGGTGATTCTGATGAAAATTTGAGCATGCGCCCTATGTCATCCACCTGTGATGACAAAAGTTCTGTGAAGAGTGAGTGCATAACAAATTTTGGCCTTCAATTTGTGTGCTAGGTTTTGAGTGCTTTTATTTCTCTGTATAAAAGTCCTTGACCTTTTCTATGACATGAGATGTTCTGGCAGTTGATAGAATATGTTTGCAATCTGTCTCATGCTCATTTGCTAAAGAACAAAATGGAAACAAATAAGAAACTTGTATTCTACGCTTGAAAATTCATTATCAAATGGAAAGACTTGTCTTTGCTTTTTCATTCATTTCTAATGCTAGAAGGTAAAATTATTAGAAAATAAAATAAAACGCTATGACATATTGGATTTTGTGTATCTTCATTTCTTGAGTGTGATATATTCTTCATTGATTTCCATGACCAGAGGCCTTTAAGAAACAATAACTTTTTTCCTTGTTCTTCTTGTTGAAAATTGTTTTCCAATTTTAGTTGTTATTCTGTTTTGATGAACAAGTTTATTATTTAATGTCTTATTTTTCTTATACACTTGGTTATTTAACTAAATTTTTGTCACGCCAGGTATGTATAGTCAAGAGTTTGCTTTCTGTGAAAAAGTCAAGGAGAAATTACGAAATCCTGAAGTTTATCAGGAATTTTTGAAGTGTCTACATATCTATAGCAGGGAAATAATTACCCGTCAAGAATTGGAATCCTTGGTATGGTTCATATATATAATCTGCGTTTTCTCTTTTGCTGAATTAATCATTATATTTTATCAATAAGAAAATGAGAAGCTTAATAAATTCAGTGATAGGATCAGAGATGAACAGTAAAATTAAATAATGGATTATCTTATGTTATATATATATTTTTTCAAGTAGATATTTTATACATGTATATATTTTGAATAACATCGACTTTTTATGTAGTTTTTAATTTTGCACTTTGATCATTTATTTTTTTTGACTTGGAGTCAGCTGGGGAACCTTTTTTGTTTGTAAGACAGTCTTCTCGTGTATCTGTGTATGCTCAAGTTCTAGTAAATGAAATAACAATTATGGTGACTCCAGCATTGTTGATGTTGATCAGTTTTCAGTGCCGCAGATGACTTCAATTTGAATAATTTTCTGACCTTTGATTTAGCCAAACATTTCAATGCAAAACTGAGAGAAATAAAAAGACTAAGGAACATGCCTTAATGTTTTAGAAAATTTGATGAAAAGAGAATGAAGGCAGAAATTGATGATCAATTGTCTTACATTGACTTTTTCTTCAACACAACTGAGGATTATGTCAACTTGACCTGATTACCATTGTATTTACATAGTGTCAACTGATTCCCCCGATTCACTCATTTATAGATTGGCAGTGGAAATATGATGACTAACGTGTGGTAAGTTGTTCAACCAGGTGCGTGATTTATTGGGAAAATATCCAGACCTCATGGAGGGGTTTAATGAATTTTTGTCCAGATGTGAGAAGAATGGTAATATTTGAACTGTTGAATCTATTTTATACTCTCCGAAGTTTAATGTAAATTATTGGTTCTTATTAAGTGCTATCATGCAGATGGATTCCTTGCTGGTGTGATGAATAAAAGTATGTAAGACTGTTCATTCCTTTTTTTTTTTTTTTAGCTGAATGATAGATGCTTTCCTTTTTCTTGCTCTGTTCTCTAGCTCGCTTGAACTACTTCAGCTTCAACTTGTGGTCCAAACTTTTCTGATTACTTTGAATTTGGCAGAGTCCTTTTGGAATGAAGGGATTGCATGTAAACCAGCAAAGGCAGAGGACAAGGATAGAGACAGAGCTCAAGATCATGACAGGGATGATCGGGTTAAAGAAAGAGATTGTGAACTCCGAGAAAGGGACAAATCTTCTGCTTTTATTAGCAGGGATGTTTCAGGTCCTAAGATGTATCCATTTTCCAGCAAGGATAAGTATTACGCAAAACCTATAAATGAGCTAGACCTTTCGAACTGTGAGCAATGCACTCCCAGCTACCGTTTCCTACCAAAAAATGTACTCTCTACTTAGTCTCTTGGTTTCTTTTTCTTGTGGAATTTGTAAATGAGATTCTGTTGCTGATTGTGTTCATGTTTTTTATATATGAGCTCACACAGTATCCCATACCCATGGCGAGCCAGAGAACTGAGATTGGTGCTGAAGTATTGAATGATCATTGGGTTTCTGTTACTTCAGGAAGTGAAGACTATTCTTTTAAACACATGCGCAAAAATCAGTATGAAGAGAGCCTGTTTAGATGCGAAGATGACAGGTTAGAGTTTTTTCGAAGAGATTCTTATTGACCACTTTTGAAATTTATGTTTTGTTGACAACTTTTTAAGCAGTCAAGTTCACCATTGTCATGTTGTTCTGCTTTTCAATTTAATTTAGTGTTGATTAATAGATGTAATTTCCAAAAAGCTTTCTTAACTTTACTGGCAGGTTTGAACTTGATATGTTGTTGGAGTCTGTGAATGTGACAACGAAGCGAGTAGAAGAGCTCTTAGAAAAGATCAATAATAATATCATTAAAGCAGACAGCCCTATTTGTATTGAGGAGCACTTGACAGGTCATAGAATTTATTATTGGAATTACTTAAAACACGATCTTAATATCAGAATTTTTCTTGTTTAGGATGTTTCCATATTCTGATAGGAATCTTTCCTCTATTTTTCTTCTAGCTCTAAATCGAAGGTGCATTGAACGATTATATGGTGATCATGCACTTGATGTAATGGAGGTGTTAAAAAAGAATGCACCTCTAGCTTTACCTGTCATCTTAAGCCGTTTGAAGCAGAAGCAAGAAGAGTGGGCTAGGTGCCGTGCAGATTTTAATAAAGTTTGGGCTGAAATATATGCTAAGAATTATCACAAATCTCTTGATCATCGCAGCTTCTACTTTAAGCAACAAGATAAAAAAAGCTTGAGCACAAAAGGTAATATCTTTGTAATCCTTTCAATAAAATGAGATACATGAGGCTTTTAGTATTTAAATTACAAGTCTACTTTGTGGCTGCCAAAATATTAAACTACGTTTTACCCCCAAAAAAAAAAAAAATTAACTGTTGGATATCATCCTAATTCATTTGGATGAAAAGTAGTTTTCTGTTAACTTCTCTACACTTTCTGGGGCTGGTCTCTTGCTCTTTTCTATCATATCCACTTATTTTCCCTTCCCCCTTCAAAAGAAATTTTGGTTGGAACAATTCTTTGTGCATTAGGTTTACCACTACATACATTAGTTAATAACTTAAACATAAGATGATTTTTGGTGGTATATTATTTCTTAAATACAGTAGATTTTGCCATATATGTCATTCACCTGATTTTTTCTCTCCTACAGCCTTGCTGGCTGAAATCAAAGAAATTAGTGAGAAGAAACACAAAGAAGATGATGTTCTTCTTGCAATTGCCGCTGGAAATAGACGTCCTATTATTCCAAATTTGGAATTTGAGTATCCAGACCCAGATATTCATGAAGATCTGTATCAACTCATAAAATATTCCTGTGGAGAAGTTTGTACAACCGAACAGTTGGATAAAGTTATGAAGATTTGGACAACATTTTTAGAACCAATGCTTGGTGTTCCTTCACGACCCCAGGGTGCTGAGGATACAGAAGATGTTGTCAAGGCGAAGCATAAATCTGTCAAAGGTGGCACTGCAAGTTTTGGTGGTAGTGATGATAGTCCTGGTGTAGTTGCAAATGTAATGAGTTCAAGACAATTAAATACATCTAGAAATGGGGATGAAAGTATTTCATTAGAACAGTCAAATTCAAAGGCTGAAACTTTGGATTATAGTAAACATCATGATGGAATGCATATAAATTCATCCATGCCTGACGAGGCATCAGTGGCCAACAAACAAGTTCATTCCAGTGAACGGTTAGTGAATGCTAATGTCTCAATGGCTTCTAGAATTGAACAGAGTAACGAGAGAACGAACATAGATCCTGCATCAGGTTGGTAATTTGCATGAAGAAAGTTGACATTGCTTCGCAGTTACACTACCACCTTTTTAGAAACTTTATCATTGGATTCCCTTTTTGACCATCAACTGTAGCATTCTGAAAATGAATGGGGCCGAGATCCATCTTTTATTTATTTATTTATTATTATTATTATTATTATTATTTTTTATTTTTTGGCAAGGGCTTGCTGCTACTCCATCAAGACCTGGTATTGTTGCTGCTGGGGGGGGGAGGTATGGCTTAACTCTTTGAACAATTCCTGTGTTTTTTTTTTCCCCAAGCTGAATTGAACAAGTCAGGTTTTAACTTAATTGTGCTTCACTTGTGCTGGAGAGAAATATATTTCTTGTGAATTTTGAAAGGAGAAGATTGTTTTTTATGCATGATGATATAAAACTGTAAGAATTTAATGTGAAGTCCTAATTGTTTTCTTTTAAAAAGTGTCAAGAATTCCATTTGGTTCCTACTTGTGCTTATGGAACTAATAGGGATCATCATGCTGTCAGATGTCTCAAAAGCCTTCATACTGCCTGTTTTTTCACCACTCAAAGCTTATACCTCAAACCTTTGTTTTAGTTTTTAACTTCCGCTTCAAAATGTTAGGGTGCATTTGAGCCTACATGCAAGGGGAAGGATCATGAACTTGGTCAATGTATTGAGCACTGTGCACGTCAAAATGCTAATGCTTTTCAAAGACTGGATTTTTATTTTTCCCCACTTCTTCAATGATTTTGTTAGTGTATCATCTGAATATATCATTGGACTTGGCATCACTTACAGTAAGATACTGAAATTTTTCTCTTACTCGTGACTCAGGGTGGCGATTCTACAAGACCAGCTACACCTATAAATGGGGCTGTCACAGAAGGCAACAAAGTTCACAGATACCAAGAAGAACCTACTGGACGCTTCAAAAGTGAAAGAGAAGAGGGTGAACTATCTCCTAATGGAGATTTTGAGGATAGCTCTGCAGTGTATGGAGATGCTAGTTTAACAGCAGTAGGACACAAAGGAAAGAATGGCGGTGGGAGTATGCAATACCAAAATAGACGTGAAGAAGGTTGTGGTGAGGCAGCAGGAGAAAATGATGCTGATGTTGATGAAGGTGAAGGAAGCCCTCATAGGTCATCACAGGACAGTGAGAATGCTTCTGAAAATGGTCATGTTTCGGGAAGTGAGTCTGCTGATGGTGAGGAGTGTTATCAAGAAGAGCATGAGGAGGATGAGGAACATGATAACAAGGTTGAGAGTGAAGGTGAAGCTGAAGGAATGGCTGATGCCAATGATGTGGAAGGAGATGGAATATCATTGCCATTTTCAGAACGCTTTTTGCTATCTGTAAAGCCTCTGGCAAAGCATGTTCCCCCTATGTTCCACGAGAAAGAAAGGGTTTTTTAGAGTTTTTTATGGAAATGATTCCTTATATGTGCTTTTTAGGCTTCATCGGGTAAGGGTCACACACACACTCTATATGCACTTCAATATGATTGCAATCTCTTAATTTGTTTTGTTTTCTTTTCCCTAATCTGGCAGACATTGTATGAGAGGATACAATCAGCAAAGTTGAACTCATCATCTGCAGATAGGAAATGGAGGGCTTCAAATGATGTAAATTCTAATGATCAATATGGCAGGTAATAACTCCTAAAAATGCTGCATTGTGTTACAAATTTGAAAATAGCTGGGATGCCTATCTAACCCTGAGGTCCTCATTTACGCTACAGATTCATGACTGCCCTGTATAACCTACTGGATGGTTCTTCTGACAACACAAAATTTGAGGATGACTGCCGAGCTATTATTGGAACTCAGTCATATGTGTTATTTACATTAGACAAGTTGATATATAAGCTTGTTAGACAGGTCAAATGTACAAGTTTACCTTGTGTTAATGCATGCATTGCTATTTCCTTTTTCTTTCTGATCCTAAAGGTGGCTTTATTTATTTCAGCTGCAAGCAGTTGCTACTGATGAGATGGATAACAAGCTTCTCCAACTTCATTCATACGAGAAATCAAGAAAATCTGGAAGATTTTTTGATATAGTTTATTATGAAAACGCTCGAGTTCTTCTTCATGAAGAGAACATGTACCGTATTGAATGTGTAAGTTTCTATTGCTTCTTCCTATTGTCTTCCTGAACCAGCTTTCTTTGAGTGAAAGTTTGTGTAAATATTGCTAGAAGTTTTACTTTACATTATTCTCTGTTCATACAGTCATCTACACCAACACGGCTATCTATTCAATTGATGGACTATGGACATGATAAGCCTGAGGCAACTGCTGTGTCTATGGATCCTAACTTTTCGGCCTATTTGCACAATGACTTCCTTTCTGTTTTTCCTGAAAAAAATAAGTCAGGAATTTTCTTGAAAAGGTATATAATAAGTGAGGAAAATTGGAGGTGCGTTTGCATGCCAAAGCTTTGTTGGTAAAATTTGTACTTGTTTTGGCAGGAATAAACGCAAATATGCCTGTGGTGATGAACTTTCAAGCCAGGCCATGAAAGGATTACAAGTTATTAATGGTCTGGAGTGTAAGATAGCTTGCAGTTCATCTAAGGTATTTTGAGAGAACATTTGTTTCTTCATATTCTGCAAATGTATGCCTTTACTCCTGTGCCTTTGCTTTTGATTTTGCACTTTTTGATTATACATTGCAGCTGATTAGACTATAATGCCTGTTTAGTTGTGTTACTGAGTTTCCGCTTTTCTCTTTTTTATTCTTGGAACACATTGCATGTTTTTAGGTTTCATACGTTTTAGACACAGAGGACTTTTTATTTCGAATGAGAAGGAAAAGGAAAGCTTTGCATCAGAACAGATTAACTCATGAGCAGACAAATTCTAAAAACGTTTGTTCAAGGAGAGCACAGCAGTTCCGGAGATTGTTTTCCATCACATGATGCCATTTGTTGAGTTGGATATGGTATGTATCGTTCCTGTATTTTGGGCTACACATGTCCTCTTCCCCTTGTGTAGTTCCCTGTGCAGTTTGCTGCCATGCTCAAAACCTGAACACATGCTTGGAAGGGAAGTGAGAAAATATCCTAAAAAGGGACAAAGATTAAGTAAAATTAATGCTTAATATTCCAATCATTTGGTGGGGCTGTAAAAAAGTCAATTTGTTTTGATTCAAGAACTTGGTACCAAGAACTGAAAAATTGCATTTAAGTAATACGACAATTGTGATTCTTCTCCTCTCTCTTAAACCAAAGCAATATTTGTTGTTATTAGGTGTTGACAAACTAGTAATTTCACATATAATGGGAAGCGCATTTGCAGAAGTAGCCCCTTCAATGCAGTGACTTGTGCAAGCAACATTCAGAGTGACCCCATAAAAGAAGTGAATCAAGTTGCAGCAAGCATAGCAAGTCATTTTTTCTGAGATTATGTTTGCTGAATGCTCTCATTTCACACCAGCAGTAAAAGTATGCGGAAGGGGAAACAAAGGGCTCGGTCGGATACTGTTATTTTGTGGCTGATGAGTCAGAATCATGTAAATAGAGGTAATTTGTGATGTAACTAGATCACATTTCATTCCATTCATCCATATTTGTTATTATCTTATTTGATTACAGCCTTCCCTCGTCTTTAACTGCTGCTGCTGCTTTTCTTTGGTTTTCTTTCCTGTTATTGACATAATGGAATATTCTGTGGCTGCAATTGGCCTTCAGTTCTGAGAAACGTTTTGCATGGTCACGATCATTTGAAGTCTGAATCTCAATTTTTTGTTAAACTTTGATTCTGAAATCCCAAACCCTGCAGAATGAAAGAAGCCCTCTCCCTCAAGGAAACATCCATTTTATTATGGCTTCACGAAGGTACTTGAATGAGCCTTCAAGAATGCATAAAATTGTTTTAATTTTTTGCTATTTTTAGTAATCGTTGTTCTTGGGTGATCCTTCGTGCATGTTTGAGCAGTATGATAGTATTCCACTTGAATTCAGATTTTGTGATGAAAAATTGAATAATATTGGAATAGCATCATGTAGGTTTTAACCAATGCTAACTCAGATAGCAAAGGTCAGATAAGGTGTAGGTAAGAGTAAAGGTTCAAATCTCAGTGATGTAACTTCAAAAAGGAAATATTGGTTTTGGCTATATTAATAGTAGTTTAAATAATATTGTTTTTTATAGTTTTATTCATAGATAATAGATTTCATTTAATTTTATATGATTCTTAATTTGGAAAATAAATAAAAGTTATAATTTTTAATTCCATTTGTACAGCATGTATAGCTTCTTGTGAGCGGGGTGGTTCAATCTTTCACATTGGTCCAAAGAGCACGGAAGAAGTATTTGTAATTAGCGGGTCCAATAATTTGCATATAGTTTCAGAAAGAATTAAATGGACTGTTCCATACTTCCGTGTTTGAAGAAAATAGTGCCTGATCTGATGGGAAAAAAGAAACCGTATGTATCCTCGGTTGAATAATGAAATGGGTCCGGTTAGGTGACAATTTGGAAAATAAAATGTACAGATTTTTATAATTAAGTTGTACAATGAAATCTAATAATTTTTTTTTGCCAATAATAAAAATCTAATAACAGATTGAGATTATGTTCATAATATGACAAGAATAGGATCTTTTTTTATTAAAAATCAGTTAAAGTGTATTAAAAAACTTTCCTAAATTTGTTCGAGTCAAACGTTATCCCGTGAAAAATTAGAAGTATCTCGGGTCTTTATTTCAAATCATTACTTGGGAACGGTCTTCTTTTATAAATTGGTCTTGTTTCCAAGACAAGTTGTAGAGTGTTTCTATTTGTGCAAAAATTGGTGAAGAATTCCATCTTTGACTTAATAATGAATATCCTTTTCAGGCCAGAGACAGTAGATATGCTAAAATTTTTAAATTTGTTATTCTACCATTCATTTATTTCTTATTTTATCGAGGGAATCATTGGATACTTTTAATTAAAAACAATAATGGTTGGGGAGCAAGAGAATCGGGTAAAAATTTTCATACCCTTTTTCACATGTTGGGAATCTTGATTCAGGTAAAATCACACTTATTTTAATTTAAAAGAAGTATCGTGACAAGAATATAAAAATGTTACAGCTAAGCATGAAACTCTGAATTTATCATTCCTCTTCCCATTTTTTTCCTTTTCTCCCCCTTTTACTGAAACTTCATTGGGCTTTAATTTTTTTTTATTATTTAAAAAACTCGGCATCCACTCGTGTCAGGGTACTTACTATTTATACTTTATATTGACATTGATGAAGAGAGCTGCGCACATCTTGTATGATTTTTGTTTGAAAATGCCTATCAAAAATGTGACTAGCAGTAGAAGACTGGAAGTTTTAAACAATCTGAGCCAAGTTGTTGGTAAAAAAAAATCTGAGCCAAGTTCTTTCCCACTCTGTCCAATTAAAAGAGCAGATTGACAATAAAGACATCAGTCCAGGAACCAAAGCAATCTAACTGGATTATTTTGGGCCTTCAGTCCAATTGAGAGGGTCACACTGACTGAGTATGAGAATGCGCTCAAAGTATATGACAAGTTGTGTTCCAATATATATAAATATATGTAATAGTTCCTTCTTTACCAATATATATATATATATATATATATTTTAGAACAAAATAGAGATGCAGAAGTCATTAAAAGTTTTTTCAAACTAACTTGGATAGGGATCCAGTTATTCTTTCCGCTCATTTCTATATTACTTTTAAACCACGTTATACCTTATAAATTGTCTGTAATAACTTTATTTTAGCGTGGCAATGGCATAAAATATCAAAAGATTGTATTATCAAACAAACAAACATAGATGAATTAAATTGCGAATATTGGTAATGAGAAACTGACAGCCCAAATGAAGAGATGCTTTTTTGACTGAAAATAAGTACTATAAAATCAGAAAAACTGTACAACGAACAAAACTCCCAAGGGTTAACTCCTTTTACAATCCACCCTTTCATAATATTGGGAAGGTTGATGTTGAAAGGAAACAAAAGAATCAGTCCTGAGATGACCTACACTAATGAAGAGATGCTTTAAACAGAGAAGTTTGCAATGTATTCACCAAAAAAAAAAAAAGTGTGCAATGATTGCCATATGGGGCCTGTTTCTTTTCTTTCTGACACTCATACATCTTGTTTCCGAGCGAAATCGTCTGTAATTTTTTTTCCTTTTATTCTTCCCCTTTTCATCATATACAATTTAACCAGAAATTTGACGTAAACTTAAATATTCCTAAGATATTATTTTGTGGCTTACGCATTTTTCTTCCCATGCCAATTATTCTATCGGTTTAACAAGCGTGTTGATCTGAGGACCAACCATTCTATCAATTTAACAAGCGCGTTGATTTAACAATTTTGTGGGCTGATCCAGTTCATGTTCGCTTCTGTGCCACTTTTGCTGCGTTACTGAAAGGCAATCCTAATTTGCCAACCAACCACTAACAACTTCATACCATTAGAAATAATGAATTCTTTTAATTCTTAATAGTAAGACATTTTTAACTGGTTTACATATTTAAAAAAAATTAAATTTTTATTCTTTTATTTTTGGCCAGATAGTTTTTTTATTGATATTATAAAAAAAAGATGTACTATCATGTTCACCCTTTATTTTTAAATAACAATACAGCTATATTAAATACTTTCATACTAATTAATAAATGGTAAAATTAAAAAAATGAATTAATTATTACAAGACATTCTACATTTTGAACCAAAATTGTTTTTAAAAAAGTACCTTGAAAATAGAATGGGGGCATATCATTTACAACTACAGCTAACCAGCAAGTTCACTGATTGGAGGGCGATCCATGACATCAGCTGCAGCGAGAGCATTGCGCTGCAACAATGGATCAATGTCTGGCAACTTGGGAATCTGAGCTAAGAGATCAATAGTCCTTCGAAGGAGGCGAGCTAAATCGCCTTCATCCATAGCACAATCCATCATAATTTCTCTCCATGTCAACCCAGAAGCCCAGGCCTCAACCATACCAGAAAATTGGCTATCTAAAGTGCAAGATATTGTTACTCCATGTTTCTCCTGAATTTGAAAGAGGGCGCTTCTTTGCTCATCCAAGAAACCAATTATATTAGTTACGGTTGCAGAAGGCTCATATATATAGCTGTTGTTTTTCCAGGGTCTGAGCTTGATACCCTCAGAAACCAAACTTGCACTCACTGCAGCAAGTTCTGCAGGCTTTAGTTCTAATAAGATTTTATTGCGAAGGACCATTGCGAGCCACAGTTCATTTTCTCCTCGAATTGCAGCAGCAGTTTCACCGAGAGGAAACATGACGTGTGAATTGATATCCAAAGCCCTGGTTTCATGTATGACATTGCTGACCTGCAGAAACTCCTTCCAACCTGAGGGTTCGATTTGCTCTATTCGATTAATCAATCGTTTTGATCTAGTCTTCAAGCGTTTAATTTTGTCCTCGGTAAACCTGGCCTTGTCTATGATTTTCTTGTATTCTTTAAAGCCATCAGTACGTGATATCTTTTTCTTCAAGCGCGAGATTTTATTTCTTTGGTCCTTGTACTTTTCAATGGCTTCTCTATATTCTTGAGAATTTTGTAGTAGCTCATCATCTTCAGAAAAACTACTCAAAACAGGAACATTTAAACTCCAAGACCATGTTTCTAGAGATCCTTCCATGACCCATAAACCACCAAGTTCAGAGTGAGCAAGCTTATCCCACTTCATTGTATCCTTGTCAAGGAGAATACTCATAATTTCACGAGGCAAAGCATCCCCTTGGGCCAATGCAACGTTAGGAAAGCCTGTCCTATATACAGCTTTAATCCACTTCTCCGTAAACAGATACCAGGAATTATCTGAACCAAGAGCCACGTGATACGATGGTCCAAGATCCCCGTTCAAGTCAGAATCATCAGATTCGTTATTGTTAGACCCAGCATCTACTAAATTTACTGCAAATGAATCATCAGAAGAAACCATGTTCTTGAGCTTTGAAGCATTAAGAGAGTCAACCTTCCCCAGAAATACAGTAGGAACTGAATGTTGGACTCCATCAGAATCTTTGTACTCCAAGCACAAAAAAGGTAGGTGTCCACTGTCAGACTCTTCCAATAAAGGTCTCAGGGAAGAAATTCTCTTTGCTTCCATCTGTTTTCGCAACTCAGTCCGAACACGTTTTTCTGTCCTTAATTCTTCTTGTAATTCTGAAATCTCCTTATAGTCCACTTGTGATAAGGACTTGCTACTTTTCCTATCTATGGCCTCATCAGTGATCTCTGATGTCAGTAATTCAACTTCTTTCTCAATTTTAGCAAGTTCCTCTTTAGCAGCCTGCATAACGTTGCTACTGACATAATTTCCAAAACTCTGCTCAACTAGTTTCTTAGCCTCTTCCAAAGTTCTCCCTGATGAGGATGGCCTTGTGTCATCTGATTCATTTGACCTATGAATGGCTTTTACACCAGCTAGAAGATTCAAAACCATTCCATATGATGCAGTAAATTGTGACACTAGAGGTTGTAGTCCAGAAAATAGAATCTTGCAGCACTCTTCAGCACCCTCATAAGGCGTTTGGACAAGGACTACATGGCCACGTTTATCAGTGCCCCTGCGTCCAGCACGCCCAGCCATTTGAAGCAATTCGTTTGAGCTTAATTGAATGCGCCCACTATCACTCCTTTTGCTGAGGGACGAAATGACAGCTGTTCTAGCAGGCATATTGATTCCAGCAGCAAGGGTTTCTGTTGCAAAAACAACCTTGACAAGGCCCCTCTGAAATAACTCTTCTATGAATGCCTTCCACAAAGGTAAACACCCAGCATGATGTGCAGCAACCCCTTGTAGAAGCCCTTTCACTGCTGTTTCTCTTACAGCATCAGGATATTGAATGCGGAACCTCTTCAAGGCTAGTTCAACTTCACTAGTCTCACACTCATCTAAGAGTTTGCAATTTTCAAGGTATTGCACAGCGGCATCACAACCCTTCCTGCTAAAAATAAACCAAATAGCTGGCAGCATACTTCTTTCCTGAAGGTACCATAATGCATCAGTGACTTGAGGAACCTGGCCCAAAAAAAAAAAAAAAACAGAATCATATATGACTTGTACTTCAATTATTACAAATAAAAAGTTAAACAAGTTTTCTTTTAGCCTATGTATGCAATATAACCCCAACCTATTTTCAGGGTTAATGAATGATTTTTGGACAAATATGGATAGATTTCCCCATTAGACTTGCAAAATCAAACTGGGGAAAGTAATGAACAAATGACTACCATGACCTGAACAAAAAGCATTTTAAGATAATTGACGAGGAGGCTCTACTTGTGAGCGACGAATTGCATTTATATCATTCTTTGAAAGAGAACGTTGTTCAGACATGCTATCATCACTATCATGGCTTGTGTAAGTTCCACGTCTCCTAGATTTTCTTCTCATAGTCCAATCATCCTTGTAAGATTTAACCCTTGATGTTTGCAGTTGTAAATAATTGAGTGACAGCTTCCTGTTTAAAAAAATTGGAAGAAGAAGCTATGTTACCATTTGATCTAACTTGGTAAAAAATAACCATGATAGCCAGTATTTATCTTCGACCTGTTTTATGATAGTGTCAATAGCAGAACAAAAATTCAAAACTTTTCTATAAAAATCCTCATGAGTTCATAACTCACTTGCCTATTATTCCACCCCAAAAAAATCTTCCAATTATCATTTTTATCCCTCAATATCATTGATTATTTAACAAAAATAACAAGCAACACCATTTGCCCCTAAAGCTCCCGGTGCTACCATCAACACCGTCCCAACCAGTGGTATATTATTTTCTGGCATGAGTATACAAGAATATAATGTGCTGCAATCATCATTGATCACAACACCATTAGCAAAGTTGTGGTGACCAGGAAGTCATGTCAAGCAAGGTAACCTATGTGAAAATTTCAAACAGCTGTTCCTTAGCAAAGGTTGTTGAAATCTCTGTTCACAATGCACCACATAACAAGCATTTTGCACTTGAGCAGCAAGATCCTTGCTAATCTAAGCACTACCATAATTGGCCATTGCAGCTATTTGTCACCTCCCATGTCAGAAGAACTTGAGGAGGGCCCTAGGTATATAAGTAGGTGTGTTGCACAACCCACTGAGCTAGCTTTTTGGGAAAAAAGTAATGACCCCATAACAAAATATCAGAACTGGATCAGGTTTTGCCCAGTCGGTGGGCCATCCATAATAGGGGTATCACAGATTAGCCGGGAGAGCTGTTATGTCATACATTGAAAAGATTTGGGGAGGGTCCTAAGTATATAAGCAGATGCACTACACACCCCACTAGACTAGCTTTTTGGGAAGAGAGCAATAGCCTCGAGACATACTGCTCCCAATGAGAACTATCAACCCCATCATTGTCAATAGTATCACTATAATCATAAACAAACACCATGAAACAATGCTACCTTCACATTGCACATGATCAGCACCCATAAGTTAGTTCCCAACATTTGAGTAAAGTTTAGTTTCATCGCAGTAACTGGATAATTATTTGCCCTTTGACACGTTTGGGGTGTAGTGTAGGAAGCAAACAAGAGTTGATAAAAGGAATCAATAACAGTCACAGAAATATTCACCCTATATGGGTGCTAGCAAAATAGGTTATTCTCCACAATTCATACTGCAAATCTAAAACACTAAGGTTACATTCGCTTAGTAGAAAGGATTGAAATGGAATAGATTGAAAAAATAAAGGTAAAAATAAGATGATCATAATGGATTGGTGAGCACATTCATAAGGGAGAGGGGGTTCATAGGGTTCGTAATTATGATTCATGAAATTTTTAGAAGGTGTAATGATTCCCACATTTGTAGTATATATTAATGATTTTTATCATACTTGCCATAAGAGAAAGGGTAATTTAGTTCATTTTGTTTTGAGTTTTTTAATCGATTCCATTCCATTCCTTTCTAATAACCAAACAGGACCTAAGTTACAACTATATCAATCACTTCTACTACAGAAGTACCACACCTCCACTTAAAAAGGAAAGAAAGTAGGCAGAGATATGCAGATATAATTTCTGAATAACATAAGTTCCATCTTAAAACAATCGTGGCATACACTAAATTCCAATTCAAATGAATCTGTCCAAGATGGTAAGTAAAGATGACTGAAATTGCATCTTATCATTAACAAGGAAAAGAGTCAACTGGCTGACATAGTTTTTTTTTTGTTTTTTTTTTTGTTTTTTGAGCCAAAGCTGACATAGTAGTATGTGACACACCATTAATTAAACCGAATTAATGCATTGAAGTTTATAGTTTGTACCTATTCATACGTGTTCCACTCTCATCAAGTAGTGGCAATAAAGATGCTTTTGTGGAGAAATGCCAGGTCAATGGAACTGGACGTTTTGATGACGTTACTAATTCTGTTTTACCATGAATCTGAAAACAGAAAGGGATTACTCTCAGTAAAGAAAAGATCATTCTTGCAGTTGCAAGAGGAGAGGTTGCAACACAAATCTAGCCTTGGTAGAAAGCTTCAAAAAAAATTTCAGAAAATTGAGTCTGGTATACTATTTGAGTTTTGTTACAAGGCACACTTCACATTTCTCACATTATGGAAATAACATCAGGGTTAAGTATTCGTCAATCAAGGCAATTTCACAGAATTTATCCAATCATCTTACTCTACACAAAATGTCAAATGATTGTGATAATCAAGCATCAACCCAACGTACTTTATGGTTGTAATAAACACCAAAGACCATCAGCATAGTTTGACTACCTGACCAATCCAACCAGCTAGTTCGTCTGGATTTGCAACAGTTGCTGACAGACAAATAAGTTGAACTTCTTTGGGGCAATAAATAACCTGTAGTGAGTGATTGAGCACATAGTGTGAGTAATGTGAGAGGACTAATGCAAGCCATGCATTAACCAAAGACAACAAATTGTGCTTACAATCTCTTCCCAAACTGTACCACGAGATATGTCACTGAGGTAATGAACCTCGTCCAAAACAATCACGTCAACATGGAAAAGTCCGCTTCCAGAAGACACATTACCCACGCTGCATGAATGTCAAATTAATTCTCTGAAACAGGAATTTAATAGATATTATAACTTTTAGACAGCATAGCTAGCTATGTTTAGCTATGTTTAAATTTAAAACATTGAACGATAATATTGTGATCAAATGAGTTTCGGTGAAAACAATAATGATTAGATAGTCAAAATCAAATCTGAATAAACAAAAGCTCTTATACTCGTAAGTGTGATCCCACTACAATTGCAACGTACCTCTGATATAACATGTTGCGTAATATCTCTGTAGTCATGACCAAAACCTGCGCATCCTTGTTGACAGCAGAATCGCCCGTAAGAAGGCCAACATAGCTTTCGCCAAAAGTCTCCCTAGAACAAATGGTGAACTCGAATTAATTAGCTTTAACTATAATAATGTTATGACTCTTTTCTCACACATGAAAAGAATCAACTAAACACCCTATCAGTTGTCATATAATACATACCGGAATTCGCGAAACTTCTGATTGGACAACGCCTTGAGTGGAGTGGTATAGAATATCCGTCTTCCTCTGGCTACAGTTGCCACCCCTGCAGCTTCCGCAATCAAAGTCTTCCCGCTACTTGTAGGCGCAGAAACCACAACTGAAGAACCTCTTAGAAACGCTTGAATTGCGAGCCGCTGTCAGAAGCCCAACCATCACAATCAATCACTTGTACTAACATAGCGGTAAGGAAAAATGAAAACCAGTAAATGACTGGAAAGAAAACAAAGAGCTTCACGGATACAGAACCTGGAATTTATCGATTCGGAAATCGTAAACTGAAGCGAGCTCATCAACGTCAATAATTTCCTCGCCGAACTCTCTAACCTCATTTCGGAGCTTCTCGACTCTCTGCCACTTGAAGACCTCGTGCCGAGTCGTCTTGGCCCCAAACAGATCAGTCTCGTCATCGCCTGATACGACGCCGTCAGAAACATCTCCAGAGACGTCGTTGTACTCATCGGCTGCCACGTCGTCATCGTTGTCGTCTTCATCCTCTTCTTCGTAGTCGTCTTCTTCTTGCTCAGCATCGGAGAGCTGGGACCCGGAATGGAAAAATGAGCTAGGGGACTTGAAGTAGACTCGGAGTTTGAGGGCATTGGAAGATGCGAGGGAGAACCTCTGAGGTTGCAAGCGAAATAGAGGATGGGAGACCGAGAGAGATATGGTGGAGGACGGAATGAGGAGAGTAGCACGAGTTAAAGGAGGTAGGGGTGAGAGAAAATCCTGGGTCTTCATGTTCATGGCGGGAGATATTTTGCTGCTCCATTTGGGTTCAGATAACAGGGTACACAGATCACACCTTCGTGACGGGTAGCCCGTCCGGCTCAACCAACCCGAACTCAGGTCGGCTCGCATCTTGCTTGAGCCAATAAATAATACTCTCACTGCAACGTTTGTCACTTTTTAAAAGCATCTTAATCTAAGGTATTAAATAAATTTTAAAATTTATAATTTTTTTAGTTTAATTTCTTATGTTTAAATGCTTCATATTTAAAAAATATGCACGCATTATTTGAAAAATTTAATAGTATAAGTGAAAATATGTAATATTTTTAAGAAATGAGATTTTAATTAATATTAATATTTTTCATAAATTGTGTATTAGTTAATAATAAGAGTAAGTTAATAACTAGTGTTGTCTAAATTATTTTTTCGGGCAATTATGCTAATATTTTGTTTGGAATGAATGAACTATTTTTTCTACTTTTTCCTCAATTCAAACCAAATATAAAGGTCTAAAATCAAAAGTTATTTAAGGTGAAAGAATGCAAGTTCTTGAAATTATTTTAAGGTTCTTCTTTTCAAAGAACAATTGAATTATCGTTATTTTAAATTTGCAATCTCTGGATAGATTTGTAAATGTGCCTTTTGTAAATGCCAGGTATTTATATTTAAATTTGTAAATTTGCAATTTGCAATAAAAAAAACCATGTTTGATACTCAAGTGTATAGAATTTAGTGCTCAAATAATACGAATATACATGTTGAAGTACGAATATTTACTATTTAATATTCATAGTGTAAATTTATAAGTTTTGGTATGAAAATTTACCACTCAAGTATTGAGTAATTTTCTCATCTTTACTTTTTTTTTTTGGTAAAGATGGATCTTATCTTTCAAAATAATTATAAAAATTTGAACATCTTTAACATAAATAATTTTTGATTTTGATTTTTAAAAATGATTTCTCCTTTTTTAAGGAGATAATCAAGTGCAAATAACAAGGACAAATAAGAAAAAACAAATGGAGGATCCAGTATTTACTACTTTTCTATTTTTCTTTTCTAGTGCCATGAAGAAAGATTGTTTTTTTTTTGGTTACTCACAATATCTTTTTATTAAAGACAATATTATTTAACACATTATATATTAAATATAAGTACCTCTCCTAACAAAATTCAATGAAAGCATGATAGAGGTGACATCCACACAACTCAACAATAAAAACCACTTAGAGAAGACAAAAGAGCAAAAGCAAAAATCTAACTTAGAAACCAACATCTATAAGGCCTTCACAATCTGGTTTGACATAACATAACCATTCATTTGATCCCATAAACTCTCTCAACCAAACTGCAATTATAGATGTAGTTTCAAAACAAATAGGCAAGGTTCAAGAAGAACCAATCTCAACCATTGCGAGTGTGAATAGGAAAGTCGACAAATGCACTGCACCACCATGAACCTTCAAGAGAACAACTCAAGGCATCGAACCTCGACCAGACAACCAAATCTAACCAATTGACTCTCTTAAACATACTAAATGGCACCGGCAAATCAAAAAATCAAACACAACTTCAAAAGCATCGTAATAGGAGCATCAAGCCACAATCCATCATCCATCATCCATATGTCGCAACATCCCTACCAAAACTAGCTTCCACCCACACCACTAAAGAACCAAGACAAGAATAAAAGAAAGTGAAGCACACCATAAAAATACACCAAATATAGATTATAAAGACACTAGCTAGAGGCGCACATGTCTCCTCGTCCTCATATAGATCGTAAAAAGGTTATTAGTAGACAATAAAAAGTGGGTTTCAATGTCACATGCTATGAGCGTTATTAATAGTTGATTCATTATTTTCATCGCAATAAGCATAATCAAAATATTATGATAGTATCTTTCAATATATATAGAGCAATCCTTGCTCTATCAAAACTTTTGTTAATCTTCTAGCTGTTCTTTTTTTGCACGCCATTTTTCTTATATGAATACGTTAGCATGACAAATTAAATAATAACTCAAATTAACAAAGATCTCTGAGGAATTATAATGAAAAACTTAAAAAATGGGAAGAGGTAAAAGAAACTTGTGAAACTGCTGTGCCATTTTATTGGAGAAATGTAAGAGATTGCTTGCAAACTAATATAATAAACAACATAAAAGATCTTATCGTGCGAGACTAGTGTGAGGCTAATCGATTATGTTTAAATATGTCTTTAGAAAGAAAGATAATTATACAAATTAGCTTGCTCGTGAAAATCATAAAATTACACAATTATTATAAATTATAAATATAGAAGCATGGATGGTTTCTTTTAGAGAATGAACTTTTGCTAAGTGGCACCTTTGTTGGTTTGCTTGCCAACATTACTTTGGTCATTTTTGTCTCTAAATAGACTAGCGTCTACTTCCTATACGTTGCACGGGGTGCATTTTGTTCCAAAAATTTTACATTAAGTAAGGCTTTCCAACATGTACAATAACAACTCATCATTCACATCAATGATAGTTCTTTAAGTAAATCAACTTTTACATAACATAATGAAATCATTGATTATAGCTGTTAATTATATTTAAAAAATTAATAGTATATAAATTGTCAAATGAGTCATTGTCTTGTATTGATCTACGAATCGAGTCACAACTTAGATATTCAAAACTATATCTAAATGGCAAATTAAAGAACATGAGTAATCATTGATTTGAGTAACATAGTCAATTGTACGCATCATTGAAGTAGTTACTATTTGTGATATTGTCTAGTATATCTAAATAAACTATATGATCAATAACATGCAAAGGATTATTGTATCTTGTTATCAGTAATTCTGATGTTAATTCTATTTCTATGATACCATCATGTGGGAGACCTAAGTTGCCATCTCCAACTTTTAAAAGCCATTATGGGAACTTCTTCGAGGCAATAGTATTGCTAGAAGATGCATAAAGTTGGCTTTAAGTATAAATTTCCATCAGTTTGAACATGACACAATAATCCCATAAATATGAAGACGAAACACATGCATTGCCCTCGTACCTTTAGGGATAAATGGCAACATCTAACAAAAATCACCACCTAAAATTGTACATTTACCTCCAAAAGGTTGACTATATTGCATAATATTTTTCAATGTACGATCTAGTGCTTCTATACAAAACCTTTGAACATTTAAGCTTCATCCCACATGATTAACTTAATTAGTAGACTATGATAAATTAAACCTGATAATGGAGAACTTTGGAGTACACTGCATAGAGATTCTTTAGTTATTTAGATTTGAATAGCAAGTCTTGAGCATGCAGTTCATCCTTAAAGGCAGTAATGTTGTGGCAATATCACTTGAAACTGTTGTGATAACAATTTCTCTACTTGCACGAGGATATAGGAGAGACAAAGCAATCTACAAAAAAAAAAATTCTTGGCACTTCCATATCCACATACAAAGAAGAACTCACATTTATATAATTTCGATGAAAGCATAACATTGTCAGATATTACTCTTCGTTATGAAGTCAATGAAGAAATCAAAGCCTTTGATTCTTTTTGCAAAGCTTCATGATCGTAATTTAACTCTGGAAGCGTTCATTGTTTGGTGATGTTTACATCTGAAACATTTGTTAGAAAAGGAAGAGATGGGAATTGACATAATATTTTCCTGTTCTATTGCAATAATAACTTAATTTCCTTGTGTGAAACATTCTCTTTCACACTTTTCAGAAATGATAACATCTGTGTAAATGTATATAAAATATTAGCTATATAGAATTATAATATTTTATATGATTAAATTATGTGTTATTTTTTGCTACCTGATGAAGATGGATCTTGACGCAGAATGTAAAACACATCTTCTGATAATAACTTTAATATCTCTTTTTGAACAAATTTAGGCCTACTCAAGTAAGAACAAAACGATATGGTAACAAACATCTTCCTAAGTGAAGATCTAGAAGACTAAAAGGATGCTTCTCTGATAGCCAAAATATATTCTTTTCACCATCAAGTAATCTAAGTATAAAACATGCATCCTTAAAAGCAAGATATGTTAATAGCTTTAACAGTTTTGATGCTATCGGAGTGCGGTCCTTTGACTTTTGTAAGCAAAATAAGAAAGTAATATTAGAGTCGGTAATTCGGGCAAGCCGGGCTTATTCGGGCTAGGCTCAATTCGGGCCGAGCTTATTCGAATCGGGTTTTAAGTATCGTACCTTTTAGAAAAAGCTCATATAGTCAAGCTCAACCCTAACGTCTTTGGGCTTCGAGCTTATTCGGGCTGGCCCGAATACTCGAAATTTTTAAAAAATAATTTTTTGCCTTTTTTGAATTGATTTTAATTTGTAATTTAAAAGCTATTTTTTTCTCAAATAATATAAACATAACAACACATTCTAGATTAGTAAAATACATGTAAGAAATCATTAAAAATACATTAATATTAATAATAATAATAAAATTTGAAAAGTTAATTGCTTAATTTAACAATAAAGGTATGCTATCAAGTACCAATAAAGCTTGTAAAGGTTCAAATAACTTAAAAATAAGAGTTTAATCATACATAGTTGCATAATTCCTTCACAAAAAAAGATGAAAATTTCACAATAAAGTTCAAAACATCATGCTCACAAGTCCAAACATCATGCTGTCAATTTTCTCTAATTTCGTATTCCTCTTGACTCTCTTGATTGACATTGTCATTATCATCCGAAGCTGCATTTGAACTCTCAGTGAGCATATCAACTGGTGAAATTTCTTCAGATAATTTCCTCTCATTTTCAATCATTATTTCGTTATCTGCAATAAATGAACAAATTTTATAGTATAATTTAGTGAAATTTGCTTCTAATCAAGAAAGAAAAAATATATGAAAATAATCACATATTACCATCATCTTGAAAGCCACGCAATCAGTTACGGGTGTAAATAAGAGCCTGAAAATTATCAGGAAGAAGAGTGCTCCGATATTTCGTAAGAACACGTGAACCAATGCTGAATGCAAACTCACTTGCCACTGTAGTGATTGGAATGCAAAGTATATCAAC